GCATTAGCTACTTTATTTAAGATATTTCTGTCACATAAATTGGAAAAACTATCAAACATTTCAAGAGAAATTGAATTATGATCATTGATGTAAGTTGTTTGCATAAGCAGAGTCAGTAGGGCTTACATCAATAATGCTAAAATTGATCTTTTATTGATGTACCTTTCAAAGAAACTTTTTATGATATCTCTTTGAAATTTTTTAAGATGTTGGGATACTTGAGATTATATCAACCGCATGCTGTAATATTGTTTTAACGTAAACAGGAATACTTTTTCTGTTATGAAAGATTTTTGCTCAAAAATGATGAAACTTTTAAAAGAAGTTCTAAGTTCGTAATTTTTAAAAAAGCCTCTGCCAAAGATAAGCATTAACAGTTATCACAGTGTAAACATGTGTATGTTAATATTCTGTGAAAAAAAATGAAGCAATATCTTGCTTAGATGCTGAGAGAAAAGATACATCGAAAAAGGTCAGATTTAACATTATTGGTATATACCCTACCGACAAGCAAAGATAGAAGTAGAAATTTAGAACATTCAGATAATATTATATTGGCGAAATCTCTGAACATTCTACAACGACAAAAGTCCTATTATCCTGTTCTAAAAATGTATACTTAAACAGAATATAATGGATTAAAATATATTGTCAAAACTACTAATTTAATTGTAAAACTGTAAAACGATTTCAAGTGCGGGATTTCCGACAATATTAAATCTAAACATGAATCGTTTTGACGCAGTTTTTCTTTTCCTGTACAATTCATACCGCAGACGATTTAGTCATACACTTTATTACCAAACATGAAATAGCTGAAAAGCTTAATTTCAGCTACATTTATGACGTCAACTTATAACTCACGAAAAATGACATCTTTTGAAAACTCAGCAAGGACGAATGCATGATTTATTGAGAGTAAGGTCAGCATTAAATAAACACAATAAAGGTAAACAATATTTGTTCTAAGAACATTTGGGCACAGATTGCACACAGTACTTAAAGTGAGCTATCTTTCTCTAATATTAAAGTGTAGGCAAATTTGTCAACACAGTTGCCTAGAAGAAATATGCTAAAATTGGAACTTAAAAATGTTAAACTACTTACAAATTATTGTTGTAAAATTATATCGTCGCACCAAAAAAAGAGTTTTGATATTGTATATCATATTTTATTCAAGAGTGAAAGTTTGAAATTGATAGTTTAAAAACTATTTTCAAAATTGGTTATTTGCCATATAATTTGGTTCAATACCTTGTTTATTGTCACATTTTTAATAAACCTTTAGCGTATTAAATAAATTGCTGTTGAAATAAATCTCTACTAATCATATAGATACAAAAATCCTCAACAAGTAAATGCTCATTCCAACTGGAATAAATGATCTATTTTCATTTGAAATATCATTTAAAAAGGTGCAGAAGCTTTGGTTAACTCCCAATGTTTAAAGGAACTTGAAGAACTTGACTTATCTTATCTTATAATAAGCTATAAAATTTTTTGCTTTAAGACGTTATTCTTTACCTCACTTACAAATACAATATGACGTGCTAAATATAAATACATTAAATTAAACGCTATATACAGAAGTAATAAAATGTACAGTGGGGGGAAAAAAGAATTATCCTGAATAACTTTTGATCTAATGATCGGATTTTCACGATCCAGGACTGAATTTTAATGGTTCAAAGGGGGTGACCTCAAATATGCTAATTAGTAAGTGCATGAGATATTTTAAGTTACGCAATCAGACAGACACGAAAATATACTTTCTTTAATAAATATACTTTTTTCTTTTTGACGGATTATGATTCCTGACCCTCAAAACATAGAAGGTAGTCGCAATCTTGGAAATATGGTCCCAATAGTTAGGTCAGGAAAGCGGTTGAAAGTTTAGACCACAAAAAATAAATTTTTTTTCCTTCTTTTTTTTGCGTATTTTGCTATATCTTGTAAACTTAAGCAAAAGGAACAATTTTGCACACAATCATAAAATTCGTTTATTCATAAATAAAGCCATACAAAGAAAAAAATCTCGTTTTAAAATGAATATAGATGAAATCAAAACTTCATTTATGATTAAACAAGAAACCATAAGTGAATAATAATAATTTACACAAGTTTCATTAATAGCAACCTTAAAAATTTTATAATAAAATTATTGACTTTTAAAACATTTGTGAAAATTTATTTTTTGGGCATATGATGTTGATTCTTTAAACACATTTATATATCAAATAAAAAGAAATGACTACATTGTTTGTGGCAATGGTGAAAGATAAATTTACTTTTCTCTAAACAATGAGCACTCAAAAAACAGTCATGACCTGTGGTTGAAAATTTTGATTGATATTTACTATCTTTATTTAATGATTACCATCCCATTCACTCAATATATATTTCAAAATTCATAAAATGCAAAATTATCACCCAATCAAAAAATTTTAACTATTTTGATATTGAATAAAACCGCTGAAAAGTTTAGGACAAAATAATTGACTATTTTCGTTTTAAAAGATCACCTTCATTGATTTTGAGTATGTGTAAGACAGAGAAATGTATTTAAGAATAAATTGTCTATTAGCATCAATTATCTAGTGTCTAGTAGTAGCCAGTAGTAGTAAAATAATTAACATTTTAAGTCGGTGCAATTTTTTTTCGTTAATTTATAATTTCTTTTAGGAAAGAATCTCTTTTTGCGAGTTAAACTTGATACAATTTGTTATTGTAATTACATTTACTCTTCAGAAGGAGCCTGATAAAAAAAATAAGAAAAAACACTTTTCATTGATTTGGAGAAAATTTTGGCAGTTGTTTTGTACTTCAGTAGCGACAGGCAGAAGTTTTATATTTTGAAGCCACTTGCAAAAATAATTTTACTCTCCTTTTATTACAATAAGAAATAAAGCTTAATTTGATTCTATGAAATAAAAATAACTAGAACTTTTGATCAGTTGTGCTTAAAGAGTTGAAAGATCGTTTGAGTTTTAATTCAGGATTAAATAAAAATTTCTTTTAATTCAGGATTAAATGAAAATATTTTAGTTTTGATTGTATTTTTACTATTTACCTTAGGTTTCTAACTAGCTTTTGGAAGGACAGAAACAAAAAGGAATTGCGAGAATGTAGGAAGAGTTTTGAAAAAATACTGTAGGAGTTAAGTTGGTTAAATATGTTTAGAGAAAAATGTAATTTTTACCATTAAAAGAAATTAAGGTAAAAAATAATCCGCACAGAAATGGTAACCTTTTCACATTCTTCATTAATCTTTTTCTATGCGTGATATCCATTAAGAATTAAAGTTCATTTTATGTGTATAACTATAATTGATATTAATTTTATATACTTTCACTTGTCTATTGATTCTTTTAGAATTCAAATAAAAAGTATGTAAGCTTCAATTCTCTGAAGTCAAATCTTGTTCGTAGTCTTTTATTTTCTATTATTTGTAATTTATTCACGGCCGGCAACGCTACAATTCTATGCTTAATAACATAACTCTCATAAAACTTAATTGCATTTCTCAAAACACGTTTTTAACCATTATGACTTTAATTTACATGGGTTCAATCAAATGAGCTGATATTCAACATATAGTTCAAATAGTTCTTTAAATATTTTATTTTGTACCCTATACTACCTGTATGAGGGTAATTTCAAAAATAGAAATAAGGAAGTAAAAGAAGAGACTGATTTTCTCAGAAGACCGGAATTTTTCACAACAATCAGTCTCTAGAAAATTAAACAATCAATAACATTTGACAGATAATGATTTAAAATGTCCGACTTTATATTTATAACAAGGAGGACCAAGAGCAGAAATTTTAACCCTTCAGTGAAATGTGCAGTTCAAAAGTTCTTGAAGGTGCTCTAAGCAAGACGGATTTATAGAAAAAGGGCAAACCGTTCATTTTAAGGAATTCATTTAATAGACGAATAGGATTTCGTTAGATTCCCTGTCAAGAATTGATAATAATCATTCATTTAATAAATTTTTAAAAGCATTAATTTAATTTTTTTAAATTCAATACATAAATTTGCAAAATTAAAATAATTTAAATTTACCACTTAAATTTTCAAAATTATCGTTTTTTTAAGCTAAATTTATAAAAATAATTTTTTTGAAATTCACTACATAAATATGTAAAAATACCTTAAACTTAAACATACGTAACGCCTCTTAATAAAAATTATTCATATTTTAGTTTATATGAACATCAGCAATTTCGTTCACTTACATATTTAGTTTAGACTTTAGACACTTGAAATAGATTTTAAATCACAAAAACGTTTATTTTTAATAATAATACTTAAATTTATAAGTTTAGATTTTGCAAATTTAAATCAATTATTTTTTATAAAGGTCTATATCACTGCATATCGTTTTAAAAATAATTAATCTTTTGTATCAGTAATGGGACACACTATATCATTAAACATGCTTAATAAGAATGATCATCTCCAAACAATTTTTTACCCTAACACGTTTGTTTAACTACTTTTAGTTAAACTTAACAACTTTTTACTTAAGTACTTTTATTTAACTATTTACATTATTACTTAAATTATATATTAAAATTCAGTTATAGAAATTTACAATTTTTCATGATTTTTATTTTATTTCCGTATAAACAAACAAATAAATTTTAAATATACATAATAAGCATCTTTCATCATTGAGAACATGTATGTCTGGTTTTTTCCAAGTATTTCATTGCATTAACGCTTGAATATATGTTATTATTTTTTATTTAACACATCACTACCTACTTATACCAAAAGAGCTAGGTGGCAGTTGTAAACATCTATATATTAAATAATAATTGTAAATACCAATATGTTAAATTTTTAAAGGTTAATGTCTGATTCGAAATGTAACAAATATGTAATATTTTGTTAGGAATATATAAAACAGTTAATTTTCATCAGTGGTAAATAATTAGTGATTATAAAATATTTAGATTTTCATCAGTTTTTATAAAAATAATTGAAACACTTACTTAAGAAAATATGTTTGGCCAGCTGAAGTTTTTGCCATTTCCCATCCTGGAGGTAAAGGTGTATTATCATCCAACAAGTCTCCATAGCTCCTTTGCCTCAAATGTTGATGGGACACAGGCCCGCTTTTAGAGTATCCCTGCTGTAATGAAGCTGGGGAAGAATGGGCCCTAGGATGATTGATTTGCAGGCCACTGGGCAGTTGAGTCGGAATCGTTTGCTGCTTTTGGGAGGGGTTAGGTCCAGTCGGATAATTGGTATTGTCAGCACTTGATTCACGGGAGTGGGACGGAGATTTCGAACCCTTTTCAGGTTGCTGAAAAAAGCTAGGTGGCAAGTTTCTTAGCCTCATAGGCAATGTGCCAGGCACTGGATAATCCTTAGGATGTATGACGGCATTAAAAAGCTCATCTAATTTAGTTTCACTGTCACTACGGATATGAACCACTTGATTAGTCCCTTTCTGTTCGATGACGTCTTGTTGTTGAGACATTTTTCTTTTAAAATATACTTGATTCGGATCCCTACTTCGTCACCAAACAGAGTAAGGATGAATCCTATTCAAATATATATAAAATCAAATCTTCAATAACGTATCATATCGCCTTACCCCCACTTCGAACTCACCAATTCGCAGACCCTAAGCCGTGTTATTCACTTATGATTGTGTTTGTATGGAAACGATGACGAAAACCAACGACTAGGTTGCCGTAACAAGAGGAGTTGTTAGCCAATCAAATCGCGATTTGAAAGTTTCGCCAAGGCGACTGCCAAATGTGGTGTTGACATTTCGTAGGGTTCTTTTCTCTTTGTTTTCATCTATCGTTTTCTCGCTTCTTTCCGATCAGCTGTGTAGGCGTGGGTGGGGGAAAGCAGTAAGGTGTGCTTCCAGTCAGGTGGTTTGAGAATAGGTTTCGATACGGAGAGTTAACTTTCGAATTCGGCGTTTCCTGAGATTTTTTTTTTCGCCATCCCCGATGCGAATTAAATTGAGCTTGACGTCTGAGTTTCGACTGAAATGAATAAATAAATATGCATTATTTCTTAAAATTTTCGGAAATAATCTATAAAATGTATTAATTTTTAATGTCTCGAATCATTTCATGATAGATATCATTTCATACAATGATTGAAAAAAAAAAGAAAAAAGATGTTACAACATTTAACTACCTTAAAAATACTAAATAATTTACGATTTATACTTTTGACAGAAAACTATGAAACGTTGTTTCTGTTTTTTTTTTTTTTTTTTTTTTTTTTTTTTTTTTTTTTTTTTTTTTTNTTTTTTTTTTTTAACTCATTTCTATGAATTAATCTAATAAGTCTAAATATAAGCGATTTGATGATAATTACCATCATATTGCAATCAATAAAAGAAATTATCAATTAAATTTAATAATATGAAAAGTTTATAACAGTAATAATATAACTTTGTAACATTAGATATACATTATTTCTGTTATAAACTGTGTTAAAATTATATCTTTCCATTTAAAAACTTTAATAAAATTAAAGTTACATCAATTTGCAAAATTAAGAGATTTTAATTGCATTTTAATAAGTTCAAAAAGTTGATTAAAATAATTAATTATAGTTTTTTCGAACAAAAAATGAAGACAAAATAAAATAATGTAATAAGACACCTAATATAATAGCATTGATTGTATCACAGAATCAAATTCTAAGAATTATTTCTATCATCCGCATATATTCATTTCAATAAGCTTCCCTGCATTTTTCAGAACTAGCGAGTATCAGCCGTTGCAAAGGGAACTGCAATTATTATTTATTTACTTATTTATTTCTTGAATCTATAATTTAGACCCAATGAAGAAATAAAAATTTCTATACTTTGCGCGTTATGATCGTTAGGTTTAGATGATTATATTGTAGTAAACTTTCTCCTAAAACTAAAATAATTGATAAGCTCTTGGCTTGTTGCAACAACAAGGTAAATTCAGATTCAAAAATTTCTGGTGAGAGTCAAATGAAATTTAAAAAGACAACAGATTAATTTGATATCAAAAAGACAAAAGTTTAATCAACAATGCGATTTTTTTAAGCTAAAAGGCACCGTTCCTGCAATCTCATATCACCAGCCCCTGTGGTAGCCTTTCATTCAACTTAGTTGTGTAAGTAAAATATAGATTTTTTTTTATAATTTTATGTAAGAACATTTTGCTAATATGTAAATCATAGCAAAATGAACGATTACCTGGATTTCAAAAATTATCAGTAGTTTACAATACATATAAAGAAAATCTTATACATAACCCTCCAAATCAGAAACGGTATATATCTTTCTTGGGTCTTTCAAATTTTTAAGAATTTCGTTATAAAAGTTAAGATCTGTATCTGGCAACATTTAATCTCTCACTCTCTCATTTGTTTATATTTTATTTATTCCTATTTTTAATTTTGATTCTTATGGGATCTATTCAAGAACGAGCTTATAAAATGAAGTTATCGAGAGAGATGAATACATTTTTCTACGACATTTGATGGAAATTTAATATTCAGAGCAAAATCGGGAAAATGTACATAAAGTTGCAATAGATATCAAACAAATTGGAATTTCGAAAGAAAAAAAAATCGTGTTAATTCATAAACAAAACTGGTCCTTTTTTCTCGTAAAAATTTGAACTCTGTTGTTGATTCGTTTGATCTGTGGGGAGGTTTTTATTTTTTACAACAAGTTTAGCTAACTAAATATCTAATGTTGTTTTTTGTTAAATCATCGTACTTCTTGTACATTTTGCTACAGAACTTCGCAATTTGAAGTTTCAGAGTCTTACAGTTTTTGCGCAGCCAAACAAAATGTAAGTTGGCAACTCAGAATAGCGGCGGCTGGGTAGAAAAATAAAGAATCACTTTCAGGATGGATTTCATTAAGTAACGTTCTGGATCATTTCATGGTATTTAATGTTAGTTTACATAAATAAAAAAAATATAAACAAGACTTTCATGAATTAAGCCTACTCCTTACATTTTTAATCAATTAAGAACTTTAACAATCAATATAACTCACTTAAATGATTATCAGACATTATATAACTTATAGTGAAAAAATTTGTAACTGGGGGATTGATCGTTAGTTTCCATGTATTCCTCAAAGTTTAAAAAAAAAAAAAAAAAACTTTCATGATTTAAAATTACAGTTTTTTTTTTCGAAAAAAAAATTTAAAAAATGAGCTCTTTTTATTTTTAAAATAATGTTTTATTACTTCAAAACTTAATGGTCAGTTAGTTTTTCAATTTATTTCAACTGCGGCCGGGATTACCTGGTTGGTAGAATGTTGGACTCGTGTTTGTGAGAACAGGAATTCGAATCCAGCCGGCCAAAGAGTCCCTGTGTATTAATAAGTGCCTAATGCACGTTAAATCTGCCGGGGTTACAAAGTCCTCTAAGGTCCCATAACAAATCAATACCTCTGGGGTTTATAAACTGAAGATTGTTCTTTCTCTGTTTCACGTCAAAATTACGATAGGCGGATGGATGAAAGGCGGGTGAATGTGTTCTCCCTTTGAAGCTTGTTGTGTTGTGACGTATGTGTGTGGCATAAATCGTATTCTTGTCTATAGATGGCGCTTCTGAAAAACAAGACACGCACCCTATGCCTTAAAAATTCGCATGATTTCAAGCAGGCTTGCTGATATTGCCAAGTTGCATTAGTAACAACAACATTTCAAGGTTCATATTTTTTTTTATGGAATAAAGACATTTAAGTTGCCCGGCAAGAAACAAATTCAGCCCATTTTTGCGATGTTACGTTAGAAATTTATTTAAATAGATTAAAACTGGTAAAATAAAGAAAATAAACATAAATTTTTTGAGCAAAAATCAATTACATTTTACAAAATGATGTAAGAAATATTAATGTTTAGATAGCTTTTACTGTTTATCTGTTTAGTCGAATCGCGTCGGAAAAGCACTGTAAATGTTGCTTTAAGGCTTTGCTATACTACTCTGCGAATGCCAGCTCATAACTGTGCTGCAACATTTATAATTTCTCTTATTTAGCTGTTATTTACTTTTTTGCTATTCGGCAATATCTTATCGACCTATTTAGAAAGATCTGGGACTAATAAAAATAATTAAATTTTTTTATTACTTAAAATAATGTAGTTAATGATCTTTAAAAAGGTGGAAAAAAACAGTTTTTATCCAAATTAGAATATAGTTCTGTGTTTTTAGAAACTTACTTTCCTTTTTTATTATTTTTCTCCCTTTTTTTCCAGCTATAAAACGATAAATCTTAAAATCTACATTGTAAAAAATTCCATATCAAATTACGGTATGAGGTACTCACACATTTGATACATCATTCGTAAAATCCACATTTACCGTAAAATATTATATCGTAATTTTTACAGTAATATTTATTTAATAAAAATAATTCCGTGATTTTACAGTAATCATTACGGTAAAATTCACACGGTATATCAGATTTAAGTTCTGTAACATGTTCCTGTAAATAAAGAATTTTACGGAAGGAAGTACCCCCTGAATGCCGGTACTTTATATCACAATATGATTCGGAATTTTTTACAGTGTATTTAAAAGCAACCAACTATATACTCTCTAAACATGTTTATTTCAGATATTTTACTTCTGGAAAGTCATGAAACAATTTTAGATTTCATTATGTAATTTTGTTAAAGAAAATAATAAAAAGAAATATATAAAGCAATAATTAGAGTTTGACAATGATTTAAATAATCAAAATGTTGATTTACATCATAATATTATTCAAACCACAAACCAGTAATTAAACGCTGTTGATTTATATTTCCTTGTTCAAATGTATGGGGTTGAATTAGCTGATTTGAACAGTGCAATAAAAATACATTGATTCAAATTCATTTACACAAATTTTCGAATTCTTTGACATCAATTCGTAAGTTGAATGATTTAATTAGAATCAAGTAAATTCATTCAAATTAATGGATTCAAACCCTTAAGTCACTAATTTAAATGTGTTGATTTAAAAAGGTTTGAATTTTTTGAGTCAGATCACTTTAATACTCTTTTTCGCTTTTCTCATAAGCGTTTTTCATTACTATTTGTTAAAAAAATATTCCATAATGAGAGATTATGGTAGAATGTCGTTTTCATAAAAATATAAATGGCATTTAAGCTCATAAAGATATTGTTTTCACTTCATTGAACTAATTTGAAAAGTGTTTTAAAGTTATTATGAAAAAGAAAATGGATAAATTTGATAATTTTAAGACAATAATTTTTTTTATTATTTATATCTCGATTTAAAAACAAAATGATCCGTAATTCCTTTTTTTTCTCAATTTCTTTCAAAAAATGTTATTTATGAACCTGTAGAAATGTTTCCATTCAAAGGTTCTATTCTAGTTTTATGAATGATTTCGATGAACGAATTTTTTTGACGAAGATTTCTACACACTTTCATTTTATCGTCAATTCAAGCTGTGCTTATCTCTAATATTTACATGTTATTTCCATTTCATGCAAGAGCCGAAAAAGTCGACAGTGTCCAAAATGACTGAACCGTCTTTAAAAAGTCTTGCAATTCTATTGTGAAGTTTTTTTGAATACGTAATAAATTTTAGTTCCTTGTTAGACTCTTTTTCCAGTAAACGTAAATACGCAGAAAGAAAGTGGGTGAAAAAAAAACTTTTATTTTAAAGAATATAGGGCGTGTAAAACGA